ATATTAGCATGACTGGTGTCCTCAATTTTTTTCAGATTTTTCATTCTGGTGCGTCAAACCGAAAAAAATCAAAAACCGATATTTTCGACATATTTCGTGCGATAATATGAGAAATACTTTCAATTTCTACATTTCCTTTACACACTTAGTGCATTATGTGATTTCGAACATTTTTGCACTGGATGCAGTAAAATCTGAATGGAGAGGGTGAAGTTATTATAAATAATTGAAAATTACGCACCTTATCCTCTAAAATATTAGAAAGTTTTTCAACGTCGCCGATGGATAAGTCGGTAAGGTGTCCGACTATGGAACCGCTGGAAACTTTTTTGTCACGAGTTCGCGCCCCATGAATGTACAATTCTGTTTTGTCATAAAACAATTTTTTTTTAAATTATTAATTACATAAGAATACACAATAATCATTTAATAACGTATGAAAATAATTTTGAAATATTTTATTCAACTTATTCCACTTATTTTTATGTATACTTAATAATAAAATATTTCAAAATTATTTTCATACGTTATTAAATGATTATTGTGTATTCTTATGTGATTAATAATTTTAAAAAAAATTGTTTTATGACAAAAAATAGAATTGTACATTCATGGGGCGCGAACTCGTGACAAAAAAGTTTCCAGCGGTTCCATAGTCGGAAACCTTACCGACTTATCCATCGGCGACGTTAAAAAACTTTCTAATATTTTAGAGGATAAGGTGCGTAATTTTCAATTATTTATAATAACTTCACCCTCTCCATTCAGATTTTACTGCATCCAGTGCAAAAATGTTCGAAATCACATAATGCACTAAGTGTGTAAAGGAAATGTAGAAATTGAAAGTATTTCTCATATTATCGCACGAAATATGTCGAAAATATCGGTTTTTGATTTTTTTCGGTTTGACGCACCAGAATGAAAAATCTGAAAAAAATTGAGGACACCAGTCATGCTAATATCTAACTACTGTAAAAGTAAAAATCTAGTGTCTCGAAAGCTTCTACCCGAAATCTCTATTTTTCGACTTTTTTTTGCGTTTTTGATTTTTCACGCCTAGGATTTGCAACCGAAAAATCTGAGAAAATTCACAATCATAAAGAAACATGGCTAGAATATTCTAGAATTTTTTCAGATTTTTTTAATGCCATTAAATAGGGAAAATATGGCAAAAACTACTTTTTCTTTCATACCCTGTAACTACCCTCCCGGTTGAGGTACAGGGTTGAAACTTGGTGTACCATGGTTTTTTGGGATATGCTATCGAATGGTGCATTGCGAAGCAAATTCGGCTCAAGGGCACTTTTGACCATCTTATCCTGCTATACCCTTTAGAAGTGGAATTTTTATTGAGTCTTGTGCGCAACATTTTTATATTTTTTAACGAGATGTCCAGTTTTTGACAATCTGACTTAGCACGGTGCGTAGAAAACTTGTTTCATAAAACAACTAATTGTAAGATTAGTAAATTATGTATATCGTTTGACAGGTATAGGTTAGAGTAGAGGAATATTTACAAGGTGGTCATTAAGATACCAGGGGATCATTCATCCACGTATCGCACGTAATAGGACTAAAGATACAATAATATTGCCTAATTACGCAAATGTACTGGTTTGCTTTGTTTCATTAGTAGTGCATGAGTGCTTGACAATACAGCATGACATGGTGCGTATCATTCTCATTGCAAAGTAATATCTATCTATTTACCGCAGTAAGAGGAGCATATAATACAGTTTTATTAATAAATAATTAAGTTGCAGCCAAAATCAAATGTTTGATATACTTAACATTATTTGGTAAATAGTTTTGTGTATTAAAGGTATATTACTATCGCTGTGAAATCTATTCACATCTACCATTTCTACAGCCTCCAATTGATTTCAGCGGTTCTCATCACCTTAATTGAAGGAAACGAAACAACAATACGCTTGTCTCATAACTAAGGTCAAATAGTTATTTGTAACATTTGACAGGTGATGGTTAGAGAGAAAAATATTTGGAAATTGAATGCAGTTACTTTCTTACAAGACATATCTGGAAGTATGTTTAATGTAACGAAATATTACACCTTATTATCTCCAGTACATTCTTTATTGCAAATTAATGTTGTTGAGTACAATGTATCAATATAAAATAATATTATTTCTTTTTCTTTATTTTCAGCATTTATTCAGACATTCATGAGGGAATTAGAAGCAAAAAATTATGGAGCAGAAAAGTTGAATAGATACATTAAAGATATTTTCCAGCATGGAATGAAATAGTAGGACATATAACAAAAACGTACTATGCAAACAGATACAATTATTTTCTTGCATGATATATCTGGAAATATGTTTAAGGTAAAGAATTAATAAATCTTATGTTCTTCAATACATCCTTTATTTCAAATTAATGTTGTGGCGGTCAATGTATCAATATATAATAATACATCTTTTTCTTTATTTTCAGCATTTATTCAGAATGAGGAAATTACAACAAAGAATTTATGGAGTAGAAAAATTTGATAGATACAGTGAACAAATTATCCAAAGAGGATTATAAAATTAGATAAGTTTGTTTTCCAAATCATCGACTATAAAAACAATGTAATGCCAGCATATTTTAAGTAAATAAATTAATAGGAAAAAATGAAACTCTTAAATTGTAATTTCCTGTTCCATTTTCCTATAGAATTTAATTCATGGTTCACATTGCCTTTTTGTACTTACAAATAAATACTTTTGTCGTGTCAAAATTCATGAATAAAAAAAAAAGTTGTAATATCGCAGTTGTTACTTTACTATTCACTTTCAACTATTTTGTATCACTTGTGTTTACAAATCTCAAACTCAACTCCTACGACTACAACAGTCCAATTGAAATATTCTATTGTTCAGACCAATTGCAAAGTATATTGAAACATTTAGAAACAATCTTTTTCAGAGAAGACTTATGGAGAAAAGACAGAAAAGGATATTTAATTACTATCAATTAGTTTTATTTCACCATAGGCAAATATAACCTAAAATCTTAAAATACGCAATTCACTAAATTTCCTGAACAATTGTACTAGATAATATTAATCACATATAGTCCGACAATATATTGTGTCAATTATATTTCCTTTTCCTGGTAATCGCTGATACTTTACAGTTTTTTGGTGAAAGATGGACTACATGACAGAATGTAACGCGTTATACAGCTGACGCGATAAGACTGTAGAAGTCGATAGAAATCAATGTTCCACTTGTTTTCCACGCATTTTCATGATCAACCGTATTTTTGTCGAAAATCACGAGTGCTTATCAATTTTTTAACGAGGGAAGGTGCTTCTCATGAAAAATAAGTTGTTTTAAATACGATGCAATAAATTAGTAAAAAATCGAAAAAATCATTATTTCCACTAATTTTCCATGTATTTGCGTGATCGACCACTCTTTTTAAAATTGAAAACCTTTCGCGATTTCCAGTACAAAGTGTGGTCGATCATTCAAATACATGGAAAAATAGTGGAAATAATGATTTTTGCAATTTCTTACTATTTTAATGCGTCGTATTTAAAACAACTTATTTTTCATGATAAGCACCTTTTCTCGCTCAAAAATTGAAAAGTATTCGCGATTTCCAGTAAAAAGTGTGGTCGATCCTGCAAGTACATGGAAAAATAGTGGAATTAATGATTTTTGCAATTTTTTACTAATTTATTGCGCCGCATTTAAAACAACTTATTTTTCATGATAAGCACCTTTTCTCGCTTAGAAATTGGAAAGTATTCGCGATTTCCAGTAAAAACAGTGGTCGATCATGCAAATACATGGAAAAATGTGGGAAATAATGATTTTTGCGATTTTTTACTACAGGGTCTACCATTTATCTCGCAACCCATGCGCGCGCAAATTGATGAAAATGGCAACAGCGCAAGAATTCTAGAGATGTAAAAATCCGTACAGTTAAGTTGGTAATTGATTCGGGATACGAGTACACCGAGTTTCATCGAACTTGTCGCGGCGTGTGAAACTAACACATATTCACGCCGGAGAGCCGATTGGCGAGGGGCACGCGAAGGAGGGATTGCAGCCAATTGACTGCCGTTGTGAATATGTGTTAGAGCCACACGCCGCGACAAGATCGATGAAACCCGATGTACTTTTATCCTGAATCGAATCTCGGACCACAGTTCAGTTGATTACCAACTTAACTGTACGGTTTTTACATCTCTCGAATTTTAACGCTGTTGCCATTTTCATCAATTTGCGCGCGCATGGGTTGCGAGATAAATGGTAGACCCTGTATTTTAATGCATCGTATTTAAAACAACTTATTTTTCATGATAAGCACCTTTTCACGTTAAAAAATTGAAAAGTACTCGTGATTTTCGATAGAAAAAGGGGTTGATCATGAAAATGCGTGGAAAAATAGTGGAATTATCGATTTCGATCAATTTCTACAGTCTTATCGCATCAGCTGTATAACGCGTTACATTCTGTCACGTGCTCCGTGTTTCGCCAAAAACTGTAAAGTATCGGTGATTGCCAGGAAAAAGAAATGTAATTGACACCATATATTGTCGTACTACATGTGATTAATATTATCTAGTACAATTGTTCAAGAAATTTAGTGAATTGCGCATTGTAAGATTTTAGGTTATATTTGCCTATGGTGACATAAAACTAATTCATAGTAATTAGATATCATTTTCTATCTTTTCCCCATAAGTCTTCGTTGAACAAGATTGTTTCTAAAAGTTTTAATATATTTTCTAATTGGTCTGAACAATAGAATATTTCAATTGGACTGTTGTAGTCGGAGAAGATGAGTTTGAGATTTGTAAACACAAGTGATACAAAATAGATGAAAGTGAATAGTAAAGTAACAACTGCGATATTACAACTTTTTTTTTTATTTATGAATTTGGACAAGACAAAAGTATTTATTTGTAAGTAGCAAAAGACAATGTGAACCATGAATTAAATTCTACATTAAGGAAATTGGAACAGGAAATTACAATTTAAGAGTTTCATTTTCTCCTATTAATTTATTTACTTAAAATATGCTCGCATTACATTGTTTTTATAGTCCATGATTTGGAAGACAAACTTATCTAATTTTATAATCCTCTTCTTTGGATAATTTGTTCACTGTATCTATCAAATTGTTCTACTCCATAATTCCTTTATTGTAATTTCCTCATCAATGTCTAAATAAATGCTGAAAATAAAGAAAAAGATATTATATTATTATATATTGATACATTGACCGCCACAACATTAATTTGAAATAAAGGATGTATTGAAGAAAATAAGATTCTATATTCCTTTTACCTTAAACATATTTCCAGATATATCTTGCGACAAAGTAATTGCATTTCTTTTCAGAGAATGTTCTTGTTATTTATCTTAGTATTTCACTCAACGCTGGTTAATTTCTTTAATGTATCCATTCAATTTTTGTACTTCATAATTTTTGGTGGTAATTTTCCCATCAATGTCTGAACAGATTCTGAAAATATAGAAAAAGAACAAGAAGTCATATTATTATATATTGATACATTATATTCGACTGCATCTATATTTGGAATCTACCAAATTAATTGCCAAATAATGGCAAATATATCCCCAATTTGATTTTGATTGTCATATTCAATTAGTGAAAAGCTTCTATTATATGCTCTGTTTCTTAATGTGAAAAGCTACATGTATGAAGATATATATGTATATATACTCCATAATATCTCTGTTGCAATTTTCCCCTCCGTGTCTGATCAAACGCTGAAAATAAAGAAGAAGAAATCATATTATTATATATTGATACATTGTACTCAACAACATTAATTTGAAATAAAGGATGTACATATTGAACAAAATAAGGTTTAATATTTCTTTTACCTTCATCATATTTTCAGATATATCTTGCAAAAAAGTAACTGCATTTCTGTTTCGAGAACATACTTCTGTTATTTGTCCTGGTATTTTATTGGAAATTCTGTACATTCTCTCTATCTTCTTTGATTGTAGTTTCGTTAGATCATGATAATCTCTGTAAAAGTATATAATTACATAGAAATAAGATTACTCACTTCAACGAATTTAATTCCACAGTTACTTTAGTGGTCAACATCAAAAGTAAGTACATACATTGTTAAATTGTACAAAACATTTTCAACAAATAGATTGAATTGTAGTCAAAACTATGATTCTAAACGAAGAAATATAAAGCTAATTGAAGCATAAAATAAGTAAAAAGATTCATTAAATGCATGCTATAAACGTGGATCAAAGTAGGAGTTTACTTCTTTTTTAATCAGATTGTGGGTGACCATCAATGACATGTCGCAGGACTCAACTTATGGGTACTTCAAACATTAAATCCGATTAAAAAAAGTCCCGTTCCATGTTCATTGATTTCTCTTCAAATCTCCTTATCCTTCCTTATGAGATAAAAAATCTTCTTCATGTTTATAACGCATTTTCCTTACTATATACGTACTGTTACGTCGCGAGCGAGAGATACGGCGCGCGACGTACAAAATAAAAAAACGAGATTTTAGTTATTATGTTGGCTGATACGCGGTTGAGAACGGTATTAGCGCTGCCACCAGTCCTAATCGCTCGAGACGATGTTAGATCCTTCGCGATTAGAACAATAAAAGAGTTGATAGATTAATTAATAGTTAATTAAGATATTAATCGGGTTCGTCAATGCTCTAGTCCCATACGGGCCCCTCGTGTGAATTTGTACGAAGATGGTAGGCGTGAAAATAAGGAAAAAGGAAGTATTTGAAAAGTAAATGAATTAAACTAATTAGGTGTAACAGAAATATAATCTCAAAAAGGTAAATGTAACAATAAAAATGGTTGGTTAACAGAAAATGCGAGCTATTTGAAATATAACAGAAAATAAATGCATTATTAAGAAAAGTTTAGATTTTATGAAAAACGAAACTATTGATTATAGAATAGTTAGAGGTTGATTAAATGGTTCGATGATTCGAGCGACGAAGTCGTGTAAAGAATCTAAGCGCGAATCAAAGGAAAAGAACGGTCCCAGGGGGTAATTCACTAGAGCCTCGGTTTCGTGGGGCCGTCCTCCTTGTGTGTAAAATCGGAATTTTCCAAATATTTTGAATATTCGATACCTTGTCTCGATTGCGAACGGAACGATCTAGGGGGAAACTTTCCAGAATTCTCGGTTTCGTAGATCGCCCATTTTGCCTCGCCACGTCCAGATTCGTCGTATTCGATAAAATGAAATGGACAACTTACCAGGAATCAAGGTGAAATAATAATATCTGATAATAGATTGTTAGTAGCTTTTCTCTGGTGTCGTTGAAAAATCTGGAAATCAAAGAAGAAATGAGGGAACTGCCACTGCACTACGCGTTCGCGATCGGCCTTGATTACGGTATTACGGGACGATTAATTACGAAACGAGCACAAAAGTATTGCAAAGACGACGCGACACGAAAGGAAAAAAAAAACCAAAAAGAAAAGTAATTAATTCAGCGGACGGTTTAAAACGAAAGAGAAAAGGATAGTGATTGAAAAGTGTGAAATTTAATGTATTCGCCAGAGTCTTTAACGCGGAAAACGCAAACCGCAATCTCCCGGCACTCTGCCTTTTTCAAGGACTTTGCCGGTCAGCTAATTTCTACGATTTTCACACGAAAACTATTGCTCGACGCGAACACGGGCTCCCCGCCACGTACCTCACGATTTTTCGACGAAGAGTGATTTGCCTCAGTCAAGCGATCGTGTCTCAAGGTTCGACCCGCGATCAAGGGTCCAAAGTGGGGACATCATTTGGCAAATCGGGGTACGTGACGGAGGGGAAATCCCGCGCGTATTGGGCTAGTTGGCCGCTCTTCCTAGTTCTCTCATCCCTTCTTGACTTCTACTTCTACCTTCGTCTAAGGTTGTCCATTTCTTTCTACCCCTCTAACGCTTCGGTTCATTTCATGCGTCGCAATTCTAAAGTTCTGGAATATTCGAAATCTGTTACGACTTAATTTATTTGAATTTGCTAATTAAAGAGGCTTTTATAATGATATTTCCGGTATCGAAAGAGGTCTTCGTTTTATTAGAAATATTTGGTTTACTAGTTTGAATGACCATTAGTTGAATATCGTTAATTATTATTCATACGTTAATTGTTCTGTTAATCTCGTTGTTTAGCGGTTTACGCGAGATGCAGCCGGTGTTTTATAATCGTCGACAAATTGCGGATACATGCGTGTCGCATTTAATTAATATTCATTCCGCGCTTATTAGTTATTAACATTCTTATTCGTATCTCGACGATTTACGTATATTCGAACGTTCTACGTTTAACGTTTAACGGCGATGTTTATGGTCTCGGTCGACCTTCGTCTCGAACATTCGTGAACGATTTCGAACTACAGTGGTTGTCACGCAAACCCTCGCATTCTAATATCATTCAAACAGTTTCATTCCGTTAAATTCCAATCGCTTTGTTCTTAATCACACGCACTCCTCGTGGAAGGGTCGGCTGACGCATGCTTTGCAGGTATGAGAGGTACCTCGCTAATAAAATAGAAGAAAATTCTTCTTTATATTGCACGGTTAAGTTGGGAAATTTCCAAGTGCGTCGCACTGCTTAACCGCGCGGCGAAGGATGTTTATGGTACCTCTCCCTAGACGGTTTCGACTTTCGAAGTTTTTGTCGCTGCGTAGTTTCGACAAGGCAATCATCCCAAGGAAAGGTTGACTTGTATTATTTGAAAGAACTAAATATAGCCTCCTTTGCGTGCCTCGCCTGGGATTATCTCCAAGTGCTTCGCACTGGCGAGGTACGCAAACTTGGTATATTGACGGTTAAACTATTGAAACTAACAAGAGAAAAGAAAAAGGAGAATTATAATTTTAATCTCAAACTCCTTTCTTGTGTTTTCCGTGAGGAATCACTTCCAAGTGCACACGCACCCGACGGTAAAGCACAAGATCGGAGGAGCGCGAACAGGTAAACGAGGAAAAGTAAGATAAGCAAGGCCCTTCCTTGCGCCCCTCACGTGGAAAATTTCCAGATGCAGCGCACCCGATGAGGAACGCAAGGTCGGGTTAATGAAAAATGAATCCGGACGTAACAGTACTTACATTCAAATTAATAATTAAAATATATGATACATAATATTAATATAAAAAACCTATTCTGTAAAATATTCAATTCTTTGTGTAAAATTTCACATTCTAACCTATACCTGTCAAACGTTACACATAACTTTTTGACCTTACTTATTAGCAGATATTGATATCTTAATAACTACCTTGTAATTATTCCTCTACTCTAACCTATACCTGTCAAACGATATGCATAATATACTGACCGTAGTTGTTTTATGGAACAAACGTATTGGCGATTCGTTTCCCTCAATTAATGTGACGATAGCAGCTGCAATCAATTAGAGACTGTGGAAATGGAAAATCCACAAGAAAACACAGCAATGTCGGATTGTCAAAAACTGGACATCTTGTTTCTTACACCATTTTATCATAATATATTAGAATGTTGCACACAAGCGTCGATAAAAACTCCAGATACATATTAAATTCACTTCCGAATTTAAGGGGGTAGACATGGGTAATAGTAGCGCGTTGACATTACCGGCAAAAATGGGTATAAAGATGGGTTTACGCGCTTCCGTTATTCGTCCTTGTATGAGAACATTTAGGGCTGGGTGAAGGCTTATTCGAAAGAGGAAGGTCCAATGCACACCGCTCAACTCATGTTTCAGTGGGATTATGTTGATGTTTAGTAATATAAGCGTGCAAAGTAGAGGTAAAAAATCGACAAAATGCATTCGCGGAATCGAAGCATTTTTAGGCCACTAAAAGAGTGCTGTGATTGAAATCATGAGTTGAGCGGTCTAGCCACAATCCTTACCTGTAAATTAAGATGTATTTTGTCTTCATTTGTTGCGAAATAAGGACGAATAACGGATGCCCGTAAAAGCATTCTCACAGACCAGTTCCGCCATTTTGTGGATAATACAGAGCAATTCATGTGACAAATTCAGTTCAGCTAGTAGTTATAAGGTGGCGTCTAACTAAGAGGGCTGCCGATTTGGAATCGTAGCCAAAATCAGGCGTTAGCTTGGTTACGTCACTCGACTGAAGGCAAGCGAAAGCAAGCGAAAAAGGCAACAACGCCGAGTGAGACGCACTACAGTCATGTTGTCCTTCTCTCATTCTGAATGTTGAGTTTGTCCCTTTTCGCTAGATTTTGACTGACGCCCGGCTGGATTTTTCACAGCACCCCATAACAAACCTCGCTCACAGAGGAGGTATAACAAGAGAAGAATATACCTCCTCTTTGCAATAATTCTACAAACGTTTATATAAGTTGTATACGGGATATTTATTTATTTAAATTATTTGCATTCACTCAGAATATTGACTCCTTTGTATTTTTTATTAGTTTCGTAAAAACAAAGTTACTATAGGTTTCTCAAAATACAAGCGTCACGCAATTGGGACGAGTTATATCTTAAATTTGGTAAGAGATAGGAAAAAGCTATTGATGTAAAAGTTGAATGATGAGACATATGAAAAGTATGAGATATCTCACGAAATATTAGTTTTTTAAATATTGTACTGTTAGATATAGGCGCGTCAGCAAAATAGTGAGAGGGAATAGTAGCGAGGGAAGAGGAGAGAAAGAGCCGAGGCCTCTCCATTTATTAGTTCTAATAGTACTTTTTTATGCAGAATGTTTCAAGGAGTTGATACGAGTAAAGAAAAAAATGCAATTCCATTTAAATAAAAAGGGCATCTGCATTTTTTTAGTGCATCGTTGCAGTCACGAAGAAAATGACGTCATAGAAAAATAAACATTATCATACCATTGAACTTTTACATGAATAGCTTTCTCCTATCTCTTACCAAATTCAAGATATAACCCGTCAGAAATTGCATGACGTACCCTGTATATTTTTATTAATTAAAAAACATTTAGTTAATAACTTTTTCTAAAAAATTTCTCAGATTGCACGTTCCTTCGGTTCTTCAGAGTAGGCATATATTTTTCAGCAGCGAAGGGTGCTTCGGTGCGCTATATAAAATCCACGCGTTCAGTCAGTCAGAATTTACCGGAGCGGGACAATTCTATCATTTAGGTTCAAAGAAGGATAGCATGATCACCGTACATCTCACTCTAAACACGCGTCAATGTTTCGATTTTGTTCTTCAGCCGTATTGTCGTGATGCCTCTGGCGAGATGAGCGTTTGAATGTGTTTGTAAAAATACTTGAGGCGCTGTTGCCTTCCTAGATCGTGTTGCGCGCACGCTAGCTGAGAATTAAACCTTTCAAATTCGTAACAGACCACGCAAGTGGCTCCACCAGGCCCAACGAAAAAACTGCTGTAATACCGACGTCCCGAATCGGAGAGGTCACGTGCCGTGTCTACCCCCTTAAGGCCACTTGCGTGGTCTGTTACGAATTTGAAAGGTTTAATTCTCAGCTAGCGTGCGCGCAACACGATCTAGGAAGGCAACAGCGCCTCAAGCATTTTTACAAACACATTCAAACGCTCATCTCGCCAGAGGTATCGCGACAATACGGCTGAAGAACAAAATCGAAACATTGACGCGTGTTTAGAGTGAGATGTACGGTGATCATGCTATCCTTCTTTGAACCTAAATGATAGAATTGTCCCGCTCCGATAAATTCTGACTGACTGAACGCGTGGATTTTATATAGCGCACCGTAGCACCCCTCGCTGCTGAAAAATATATGCCTACTATGAAGAACCGAAGGAACGTGCAATCTGAGAAATCTTTTAGAAAAAGTTATTAACTTCTTTAAATATATGTTTTTTAATTAATAAAAATATACAGGATACGTCATGCAATTTCTGACGGGTTATATCTTGAATTTGGTAAGAGATAGGAAAAAGCTGTTTATGTAAAAGTTCAATGATAATATCTATTTTTCTGTGATTTCATTTTCTTCGTGAATGCAACAATGCACTCAAAAAATGCAAATCCACTTTTTATTTAAATGGAATTGCATTTTTTTTTTACTTGTGTCAACTCCTTGAAAAATTCTGCATAAAAAAGTACTATGGTACTATTAGAACTAATAAATGGAGGGACCTCGCGTCTACATATACAGTAAAAGCTGAATATATGCAACAGAGATTGGGAACCAGACGTTGCATACATCCAGCCGAGATGTCGAATCTCGAATTAGATGCGACGACCAGCCAAGCATGAACGTAGAAAGGGACAAACAGGGGAGGACAGAGAGAGAGGTCTAATGATCAAAGGAAAGAGCCGAAACGTATCGGTGTGACTAATACTACTTCAATTATAAAACTGTTTTATTTTTTATTTTTTTTTACTGAAACTTTTACTAGCGCATTGGTGACATTTTTCTGATTAAAATGATACCAAACACAATATAGTTTGAATGGGGCGCTGTGTAAAATCCAGGCGGGCCGCAGTCAAAACTTAGTGAAAAGGGACAATCTCAACATTCAGAATGAGAGAAGGACAGAATGACTGTAGTGCGTCTCACTCAGCGTTCGGGCGATGTTGCCTTTTTCGCTTGCCTTCGCAGCACAGTTCAAGTGACATAATCAAGCTAACGCTTGATTCTGACTACGATTCCAACTCGGCAACCTTTCTACTTAGACGCCACCTTATAACTACTAGCTTAACTAAATTTGTCACGTAACTTGCACTGTAGTATCCAGATAATGGCGGAACTCGTCTTTGGGAATGCTTTTACGGGAGTCGGTTATTCGTCCTTATATGAAAAGATCTTGAGCTGAATAAGGGCTCATTCGAAAGAGGAAGGTTCAATGCAGGGCGGTCAACTCACCGTTTGAGTGACAAAACTCTTTTAGTTGCCTAAAAATACTTCGATTTCGCAACTGCATTTTGTCGATTTTTTCTTCTACTTTCGACACTGATATTATTAAATATGGACATAATCTCGTTAAACCATGAGTTGACCGCCCTGCATTGGACCTTCCTCTTTCGAATGAGCCCTCACCCAGCCCTATGTGTTCTCATATAAAGACAAATAACCGATTCCCGTAAACCCATTAATAGGCCCATATTTGCCGATAATGTCACCTCGCTGCAGTACTCGTATCTACCCCCTTAATATGTAATCACATACTTCAGCATGCATACGCATTCAAATAGCATAGGAATTTGAATCGACGAACAATACCACTATCTACAGACTCCCAAAAGGAATCATATAGAAATATATGGCGTCCAAATGACACGGCATCCAAACGACACGGCGTCCAAAAGGAACGCGTCAGAACGCGTCCAATCGGACCGGCGTCCAAAAGGAACACGTCAGAGCGCGTCCAATCGGCACGGCGTCCAATAGAAACGCGTCAGATCCCGTCCAATCGGACCGGCGTTCAAAAGGATCGCATCCAATCGGCACGGCGTCTAAAAGAAATGCGTCCTACGGTGACGTACTGGAGATTATCAAGAAAAAGAAATATAATTTGAACAATATATTGTCGGACTACATGTAATTAATATTATTTAGTACAATTGTCAAGAAATTTAGTGAATTCCGTTGTTGCGTGTCCGTTCGCGGAAGGTAGAGAAATTAGGGGAATTAAGGCGCAGGTGTGACAATCCGTAGAACGCGGAGGCGCTCCGCTCGAAAGGCGCGGATGTGAAAATAACAAACTATTATTATCGCTTATTGTACTTTAATATTTTAAAGTTTTATTTAGGCTGACTTTGTAACTTGTTTTTACAATGCGATAAATTTAGCGCGTGACAAGGACTTGTCCAAATCGAGTGACAAATTCAATCTGACGATTCTGCGCTTGGTGGAGGAGATCTTCGCGCGTTGTCGGTCGATGCCCCTTCCTTGGCGGATCCTGTATCCTCCCTCAGGATCATCCCTCGTCCAATGGTGGAGGAGTCCACTCCGTCCTGCGTAGGCCCCTTCCCCTGGCTGTGGTCCACCCTCAGGCGCGTGGAAGTGGAGGCGCTCCGCCAAGACGCTAGAACGTTGCAGCGCACATGCGCTACGAGAAAGCGTGGGACCCAGAGAAATTAGGAAACGACAAGACCTTGTACTTGCCAAAGCAACTCTTGAGGAAATTTACGACCCTCTCAGAGTGCATGAATAGACAGGATATCGAAAAAGACTTCGTAACTTTTAAGGACCGTTCCTGACCTGGTCGAAAACAACGAATTGGCTATGGTCTATCATAAATTAGTCTGTTAGGAATTTTCGAAGTGAAACTATTCCATTCTCTCGATTTCCGGCCTTCTCTCAGCTCGATCACCCACGTCGAGGGTTTACAATGTAGTCTTTGTCTACTTATATAAGTGTACGCACAGATGATGTTTGAATTTCGCTCTTAATTTATGACGGTCGATACAAAAGGTCCTCGAAGAACATTCAAGACATATCGATACCACAGACTATCGATAAATATTCCCATGGCAGTGTCGCCATAACACTCTAACCATATTCACGTGATAACATTTCACGTTACACCTTCCCCCTTATACAAAAAGGTGTTTACATAAAACAGCTTTTTCATTCATAACATTTCTCTCTCTAATAACGTGAAAGAAAGTCTGTATCAACTAATTCATTCCAAAGTCACGTGCCGTACAACTTCAATAGCCCATTCAATAGTTCGTAATTTCGCACACATCATGATCCGTATATGTAAACATACAACAAATAGTAATTCTTCCATATATTATCAATTGTCTCTGGATTATTCGTAAGCTTTAATATTAATAGAATATAAGCACAAGCTTACAAGGCATCAACGATTCGCAGAAATCTAATTCAGTCTTCGGTTGGATCGTCCAGCCATATACACGCCAGTTTTAGTTTATTGGTATGTACTATTTTACACTTATTTTCTTTTAATTCCAATTTCGCTGTTAAGTCACCAAACATTCAACTTATTTTATAGGGACCCAGCCAGTCGCAGTCAAATTTGAAAGTTCTAGGCTCTTTGAGTAAGTATCCCATGTCGCCTACATAAAGTATGTTGGCTTTAACACCAAAAACTAATTGATGAGGGGTAAACCCAGTGCCCTCATGTACAGAAGTATTGCACGAAAAAATACAAAAACGTATCCAATCATCCCAATCCGTCTTTGTGCAGTAGTGTTTGAGATAATTAATAAAACTACGGTGTGCTCTTTCAAGAGAACCCAACGACTGAGGATGAAAAGCCGTGGATGTTATTCGCTGTATTTTGAAAATCCTACAGAAATTCTTCATTACCTGATTAATGAAGTTCCTCCCTTGATCAGTATGGATAACCTGTGGGCATCCAAATCTACTGATAAACTGTTCGGCAAGAGCATGAGCAACGGTTACTGTATCTATGGTTTTTAATGGAATTGCATCAGAATATTTAGTCAAATTATCTTGCAGAGTGAGTAAATACTGATTTCCTTCATTAGTTACGGGTAGAGGTCCAACTATATCCATTTGTATTTTTTCAAAAGCTTGACGAGGTGTATCGGTGATTTGCATTGGTTGTTTAATTGCAGCAGTATAATTTTTATTTTTCTGACAAAGAGGACAGGTGCGATCGAATTCTGTAATCTCCTTTGCCATACCCGGCCAATAAAACCGTTCGCGAATAAGTTGGTGCAATTTAAAAACACCCCTATGACCTCCAATTGCAGATTAATGATGCTCCTGAATGATTTGAGAATGACTAGATTCCGGTGGAACTACAATTTCTCCAGTGCACAAGGTAATGATATATTCAAAATTATCAAAAATCTGGTTGATTAAATTTATTATATTACTTCGTTCCGCAGGGTTGAATCTGTCCGGATCTATCAAGATACTAAACGTTTTCGTATCCAAGGTGTCTAAAAGAGGTTTCGACGTAATCGAGATTAAACTCACTTTGATGTTCATTTTTATAGAACAAAAAGAAGACGGAGTGTTTATCGTGCGGAAAAGCCATGGCATTGCCGATTTCAAATTGATATTGTTGCACTTCCTCTACTGAGAATCCAATTCGGTTTAACAAACCCATAGTGGTTTGAGATGTGTCCATACAATTTAAAGGAATAAAATGAACGAGATTGTCTTCCCACATGAAAAGGTAGTCCTTTACATCGTGAATAGTAGGTAAGAAAGAAGGATATTCTTCAGGTCTGTTTACTGTGTCGTCTGTATTATTAATTAAGACTCTACTTTGACTATTGTCCGTATTTTCATTATTTTTATTATTTATCAAAATTATCTTTTTACATAGAGACTATATTTAAAGTTGTTTTTTCCCCAGGTTTTACCTGTGCAGTCTTGCCCTCTACCTGTCTGATCCTTTCGCCAGTGCAGTTTCTAACGCATTCATTCTCACCCAGCTGAATTGGCCGTATCGGTGTTGTTTCACATTCAATGCCATGCAAGCGCGTATCCATGTTCACCAAACGTTGGGAAACGCGTAAAGACACACTAGTCCATCCCAACGAGTGTGAACCATGGCGCGCTGGACACAATGGCGTTCCCATTCTATCACCTGGATTTCTTATCCTAGGCAACAATTCCTTACATTAACTTTATTTATAGTCTCATTAAAATCGACCGCTGCGTTCCCGCGCGCCAGGAAAGCAGAGGCCACAAGAATTTTATTTCCAACAAATAACATTTCATCTGCTCTATCTGTTTCAGTATCTGAAGGCGGCACCCCACCTGTACAGGCGAGCACCCCTTCCAAACGTTGTAAATCCAAATTAGAATCAGTGTCAGACCGTATGGGTTTTGGTTGAGGAACAGGATTTATGCAGGTTTCTACGGGGTTTCGTGATAGTACATCGGCGTTGACGTTAACCTTTCCAGGTTTGTATACCACAGTATAGTCGTATTCATTCAACCTAATCCGCCATCTCATAATTTTAGATGTTGGATCCTTGACATTGTGTAACCATACCAAGGGTCTATGGTCAGTGAGCAATGTAAATTGTCGGCCATAAAGGTAAGGTCGAAAATGTTCTACTCCAAAAAGAACTGCTAACAATTGCTTTTGAATCGTTGAATAATTAACTTGTGCGTCATTTAGTGATCTGGAGGCATACGCCACTGGGAGATCTTTTCCCACTGGTCCCTCGCTAAGGATGGCGCCAATAGCATAATTAGAAGCATCCGTAGCAACGAGGAATGACTGTGAAAAATTCGGGAACTGCAATAGAGGTTCCGCACAGATAATATCTCTTAAGGTTTCGAAGGAAGTTTGCACGTCAGCTGTCCAACGAAAAGGTACCTCCTTTTTCAAAAGTCTAGTCAAGGGTTTGGCAATCCGAGCCATGTTGGGAATGAACCGCCTATAATACCCCACAAGACCCAGGAACTGTTTAATATTCTTCCCAGTCTTGGGTATGGGAAACTGTTTTACTGCCTGAATTTTCCCGGGATCCGGTTTTACACCCTCGCTCGTGATTACATGCCCTAAATATACTATTTCCTTTTGTAAAAAGCGACATTTTTCAGGCTGAAGGGTCAATCCAGCGTTTTGTAACCGAGCTAAAAGGGTTCTCAACTTACGCCCATGCTCTTCGATGGAGGCTGCATAAATGACAATATCGTCCATATAAACCAGAAGCTCGATGCCCTGCAACCCGGATAGTATCAAGTCCATAACCCTTTGAAAAGTGGCTGGAGCATTCTTAAGACCAAAGGGCATCCTGTTGAACTCATAATGACCATGAGGGGTAGAAAAGGCCGTTTTAGACTTCGATGCAGGATCTACAGGAATCTGGTGGAAACCAGAAGCTAAATCGAGAGTGCTGAAGTATTTCGCCCCTCCTAACTGATTCAAAATTTCGGTAATATTTGGAAGAGGGTACGCATCAGCCACAGTTTTTTCATTCAATTTTCTATAATCAATGACCATCCTCCATCGTGGTTTTCCAGAAGAACCAGGTTTTTTCGGGACTACCCATACAGGTGAATTGTAAGGGGATACCGGCGGCTGGATAATTTTGTCCTTAAGCAAGGAATCTACCTGAGTTTCTATTTCATTTTTATGGATCGGAGGGTACCTATACTGCTTGGTATGTATGGGTATTTCGTCGATTGTAGTAATTGTATGAGAAGGAACATTAGCTGTCTTCAGTTTATCTGAAGGAAGATGGAACTGATACGAAAATTCATTTATAATTTCCAGGATACTGGCCTTTTCCCCTTCTTGAAGGTGACTCAGATCCAAGTAATTAAGCAGTGCACTAAATCTTTGAGCCTGATCTGCTGATCTATTTGCGTTCGGATTTCCCGTTCGAGAAGAACGCGATGCAGGAGGTTTCAGTTCAAAATCTTCCAATTCAACCTGCGGTATTGTAAGCGTAACGTAATCCGATGTAGTATTAATAACAAATAATTTGACCAAACCGTTTTGTTGATTAACAAATACCTCTCCCAAAAAGATACCAGGACCAGCATCAATTCTCCTAACATAACCCGATGTAATATCACCCTTCGTTGGGACAGAAATCAAAACTTTATTCCGAGGAGGCAACTCATATGATGAGAAAATGGGAGTGCGCAAATTTTCATCACCAAATTCCACAAGGCATGGAAAATTTTCTCCAAACCTCAGTGTAGCCCTTTGCTTTTCCAAAAATGACGTCCCTAAAATTCCGGCCTCCCTAACAGGAAAGTCATCTTCCACCACCTAAAAATGTACAGGGATGCCATGCACACTAAGAACTACATCACCCCATGTCTTGACTATTCCTGCACTAATGCCGGTAAGATGATAAACTACATTTTCGTCGATCGACAAATCAGGATTTAATTCCCTTCGTTTAATTAGGTTAAGTTGCGAGCCGGTGTCTACAAGGAATTTAGCGAGACCATTCCGAAAATGTTCGTGTTCTAAAGAAATATATGGCGATTGTCTGATCTGCTTTAAACTGGTTTCGCGGCCAACGCGGTGGATCCGGCGCGAAAGATAAGGGGTTCCCTCCGTGCTGTGCCCGTCGACGAAACCCTCTTTGAGTTTAAAGGATTTTCCTGCTGCCTAGAAGTTGAAGGAATTGGTGATTGCGGTTTCCTCCAAACACGGTCAGTATTTTCCCGAACTCTACTCGTATTTTCCTGAACGCGGTTAACATTTCCCCTCCGGCATTGGAAATCCGTGTGACCAAGTTTCCCACACCTTCGGCACCTAGAAACGTCGCGACTTGGCCCCCCGCGTTGATGATCCCTTCGCGCATAACATTGCCTGGAAAGATGACCCGGTCTTCCACAATTGTAACATATGTTTCCGCGCACTTCTGCCGTCAAAACTCTGGAATTAATATCAAGCGGTTTAGGATTTCGAGATGTCCGCGGAGGGTCGATCTGGGCTTCTATTCGCGACGCTAATTTTGCAGCAGATACTACGTCACTCACACGATCCCTAGAAACGATACCCGCGATAATATCATTCGGCAATCCTCTCAGGAAACTATGTACCGCACTCTCTGTGAGTAAAGTTTGAATTCCCAAAAATTTTTCCAAATCGTAACTCTCTAGAGCTGCCTGTAACCCGTGATCTAAAATTCCATTTATCCTAAATCCGAATTCCTCTATCGTTTCACGCTCATTACGACGTACAGCTTTTAATTCATTTAATATGTCGTTTAAATTAAAAGTCCTAGCATAAGCGCATTTAATCAAAGTAATCAACTTCTCTACGGTTTTAGGACTTGCATTACCTACTATACTTCTAGTAGAAGTCGAAGACTCAGGTAGCGTCATTACCGGATTTTCGGGTATATTTCCAGCCGAAGGTTGCGATGAAGGTCGAGCAGGTGCTACGTTGGAAACATTTAATTGATTGCCAACACCGGGTGAAGAGAAGAGAATCGCATTAGAAGTTGTTGCCCCAAATGAAACTGGCGTATTATTTACCGTGCTACTAGCAGGATTTGGCACACCACCCGTCACACCCCAGCTCTATATTGTAGATTGTTCGGGGACAAGAAGTGACTCCTGCAACTGAGTTTCAGTATTATGCAAGGAAAAAGAAGACCCTATGCTAGGTGATTCTCCCTTAACATCCTCTACATACATAACATTAACACCACGCAGACTATTTTTGCGACTCCTTTTCCTTCTGGCTCTTACTAATTTCCTTGCTAACGGCGGCATTTTGTCGAATCAAATATACTGGCTATAACTAATATTCTATAATCTAATCGGTTATAATTTGGACTTACAGTTTTGTTGCACGATAAATTTATAATCCGCAAGAAGTCACTTAACGTTTTTGTTTAACTTGTTGCTTCTTTCACAGGTGTACGACTCCGTCCGTCGACGACCCGTTGATCCGGTTGACCTCGGCTTACGCGAAGAACCCTCAGTACTCCGGCTCGATGGTCCCCAATTCAGCAACAAATACTCCGGCTCGATGGTCCCCAATTCAGCAGCAGGTACTCCAGTAAAATTTGTCCACAGTCAGCTGCTTCAGGTAGGCCTCAACTCCGTGAGAAATCCGCTCAAGTCTCCTGATTTTATTTTGTCCTCTCTTATGCTCCAGGAATAATGCAACGATGACGTGGACGAGGTACGCGTGATTTCGGTGGATGGCTTGCACGGCAGCCGAAATCACCTGTCTCCGGTATTTACCCTTCGCTCTTGGAGAAACTGTGCCAAAACCCAAGAGGGAGAAGTTGCACTAAACTTTGTCCACTTATTTATAACGTAACAGTTCAATAAAATAGTTTGTAGAATGTTTAATTGACTGTTTAATACACACCCGCGAGCTGATAAAGTAATTTAAGTGTACATAAGTTTGTCACAATCACTTTATTCAACTATTCAGTTATTTCACTGTTTTAAATTGTTTTCTCCGAATTATCATCTTTTAAATGTTTATCCCCACTTTTAAACTATCCCTTTTTAAAATATCCCACCGCTGTCACCAAATATGTTGCGTGTCCGTTCGCGGAAGATAGGGAAATTTGGGGAATTAAGGCGCAGGTGTGACAATCCGCAGAGCGCGGAGGCGCTCCGCTCGAAAGGCGCAGATGTGAAAATAACAAACTATTATTATCGCTTAGTGTACTTTAATATTTTAAAGTTTTATTTAAGCTGACTAACTTGTTCTTACAATGCGATAAATTTAGCGCGTGAGAAGGACTTGTCTAAATCGGGTGACAAATTCAATCTGACGATTCTGCGCTTGGCGGAGGAGATCTTCGCGCGTTGTCGGTCGATGCCCCTTCCTTGGCGGATTCTGGGTCCTCCCTCAGGATCATCCCTCGTCCAATGGTGGAGGAGTCCACTCCGTCCTGCGTAGGCTCCTTCTCCTGGCTGTGGTCCACCCTCAGGCGCGTGGAAGTGGAGGCGCTCCGCCAAGACGCTAGAACGTTGCAGCGCACATGTGCAACAGAGAAATTAGGAAACGACAAGACCTTGTACTTGCCAAAGCAACTCTTGAGGAAATTTACGACCCTCTTAGAGTGCATGAATAGACAGGATATCGAAAAAGACATCGTAACTTTTAAGGACCGTTCGTGACTTGGTCGAAAACAACGAATTGGCTATGGTCTATCATAAATTAGTCTTTTAAGAATTTTCAAAGTGAAACTATTCCATTCTCTGGATTTCCGGCCTTCTCTCAGCTCGATCACCCACGTCGAGGGTTTACAATGTAGTCTTTGTCTATTTATATAAGTGTACGCACAGATGATGTTTGAATTTCGCTCTTAATTTATGACCGTCGATACAAAAGGTCCTCGACGAACATTTAAGAAATATCGATACAACAGACTATCGATAAGTATTCCCATGGCAGTGTCGCCATAACACTCTAAACATATTCACGTGATAACATTTCACGTTACACCGTTTTGTAAGATTTTAGGTTATATTTGCCTATGGCAAAATAAAACTAATTCATAGTAATTGAAGTTCCTTTTCTATCTTTTCTCCATAAGTCTTCTTTGAACAAGATCGTTTCTAAATGTTTTAATACTTTTTCTGATTGGTCTTGTTGGCGGAATTCCCCAAATTGTCTCAGCCCACGAAGTTGGCAACGAAAGTATTTCGTCGGTGTGTCGTTACCGATAGCGGCAGCACCTCTCGGGACCACTTTGCCCACGCGGTCCCCTCTCCACGCGGAACCGGTACGATCGACGCCATGATCGATTCTCTCCATGATCGTGTTGCTCTCTGTACACGCATCTCGTTCAAGTACGGGCTGCAGTTTAGAATATGGGACACGCCCCCTGATGACGTCACATATTTTTTTTGTAGCTTATCACACAAGGTGTTCATATATGTATACCATAAGTGCCACAAATTTTTTTTAAGCGTCACAATACTTTTTTGTAAAAAGTAAATTTCCAGCCCTTTCTCATTTGTCCCGCTTAAGAGGGGGGTGCCTCCTATTGTAAACAAAGAGAGGGTCCTGGGGGACACATTGGTGGTGATTTCATTTGTAGGAGGCGTGGGAGTCGGGAGTTATGGAAGGTCAAAGATCAGGACATTCAAAATTTGTGAATGAAGCGTTGATCTTTTTTTCCAACATAATAAGCAACCTTTCTTACAACTTTTCCACAACCCCCCCCCCCCTTTTTTTTTTTTTTTGAGAGGGGGAAATGCCTTACGCACACCGGGCATGTAATGCTAAGCCCGGTAGTGTGGGACTCCCAGGATAACCCGGTATACCCACTGAAACCCAACCTCTTATCATGTCCCTATTCGAATTCTCGAACGGGATATACAGTTTTTATATCTTTCCATAATTGTTCGAATGGATCTAATTTCCTCTGTCGCACATCTCTATGCCACAGATAGGTGCACAAATGCATTGCCAAATCGTCCTGCTTGTACCCTCTGTTAATGAGGTCATGTTTTAAGTGCTTCCAGCTGCCTTCAATCGCTTGGGTGTGGGCTCCGGTCGCAGGATTGACAAATCTTCCCTCACCCTGAGTGCTGTGATTTACGGTCTTGTGTATATAACTCATGTTCGGTATATTGGGCAGATCTTTGTATGCTGCCCACTCATCAGTATGAATTTCAGATCCGGGGGCCACATGTTTCACGATGAGTGGGAAGAGGGTCTCCCTATCTCGTTTATTCTCTTTACATACCTCCAGACGATAGGAACCTTTCTCATCTATCATACCCAATACCCAGTTACCTTCACGTAATCGACCTATATTGTACTTCCTTCTCCCTACTTTTGTTTCGTCGATCTGTATAATATGCCCTGGCCCTCCGATTTGTCCTTCTGCTTCGTAACGCTCGTCCAGTGCTCTCATGCACAGCTCACGGCAGTAGCTATACCAGTCGGTAACTGTAGCTGACGAAGTGGCCACATCAGTAATTGATGACTCCCTTATAGCACTATTCTCATTTTATTCGCAAAAGCATACGTTAGGATAAGCACTCGTTCAGGATCCAGGTTCACATGTTCGAACCAAGTTCCGGACGCTGCACTTCTGGTATAAGGTCCTCGATTTCCGTGCTTTTTCCTACACCTAAACCGACCGAATGTACCGTGAGATGCTTCAAATTCCATTTTTACTGGTCTCGGACATCTTGGGCACGATTGCTCTATTTCGGGAATTATTTCATTATCCCTAAGCCACTGTAGACAAGTGTTCCTGTCTTTAATAATGCCAGTGGTAAGCTTGAGCAGGTTCATGGCGAAAACACAAAAAACACAAAGCACAGTACAATAAAAAAAAAGAAACAAGTATCGTAATCGTAATCTAAATCGTTTCCCGTGTCGTGTCCGTGTGCAAATCCGTAATCGTGGTCGTTATCGTAATCGTATTCCGTAAATCGTAAGCCGTGAGTCAAAATCTGTAAGTCGCCAATTCGTAAAGTTCGTGTATCGTTTCGTGGTTCGCGTTATTATAAACCGTAATCGCTCTCGTGAGTTCTCCCTATCCGTTAGCGCCGGCTTCCTACATTACTAAACAATGAAATGCTTACTCCTTCAAATTCAAATCAATTTCTGTTATGATAACAATTTCGAAACGGTGTTGACGTTTACAAAATAGATATGAGGCGATTAAACGTATTTTTCATAAGTAAATACTACCTTTGAGGAAGTTGAAGATCCAAACGCGTTGGCGGGGGAGGAACTTCGCCCCCCCCCTGCACCTCCTCCCCGTACGGTAGATTATACCGTAACCTAACACAATTATCCTTGTGAATAATTGTGGAAAGATATAAAGATTGTATATCCCGTTCGAGAAATCGAGTAGGGACATGATAAGAGGTTGGGATTTAGTGGGCATACCGGGTTATCCTGGGAGTCCCACACTACCGGGTTTAGCATTACATGCCCGGTGTGCGTAAGGTATTTCCCCCTCTCAAAAAAAAAGGGGGGGGGGGGGTTGTGAAAAAGTTGTAAGAAAGGTTGCTTATTATGTTGAAAAAAAAGATCAATGCTTCATTCACAAATTTTGAATGTCCTGATCTTTGACCTCCCATAACTCCCGACTCCCACGCCTCCTACAAATGAAATCATCACCAATGTGTCCCACAGGACCCTCTCTATTGTTTACAATAGCAGGCATCCCCCTCTTAAGCGGGACAGATGAGAAAGGGCTGGAATTTTACTTTTTACAAAAAAGTATTGTGACGCTTAAAAAAAAATTTAAGGCACTTATGGTCTACATACATGAACACCTTGTGTGATAAGCTACAAAAATATATAGGTGACGTCATCAGGGGTCGTGTCCCATATTCTAAACTTGGGCCCAAGTACGTTATCGGAACACGCGAAGTTATATTTCAGCCCGCGCATTAGTATAGTTTATAGTTTGTGTTACGCTATTCCTTAGTTTAAGCTGCGTTAGTTTCGTGTAAATTTAAGTGAACTCTCTGTCCTTTCACACGTATATTCGTGTGACTTTTGTAAATATTTTAAGTGTTACGTCAAAGCGTGTCTCATTCATGCTCAGACGTCGCAGACCTCGTGATATCACAAACAGGTCTGAATAGTGGAATATTTCAGTTGGACTGTTGTAGTCGGATGAAATGAATTTGGGATTTGTAAATACAATACAATTGATACAAGATAGATGAAAGTGAAGAGTGAAGTAACTACAACAATATTACAACTTCTTCTTTTTATTTATGAATTTTTACTCGACAACAGTATTTATTTGCAGCTAGAAGAAGACAATGCGAACCGTAAATTAAACACTATAATAAGGAAATTGGAACAGGAAATTACAAATTAAGTCTCATTTTCTTTTATTAATTTATTTATTTAAAATATTCTGACATTATGATTTACAAGACAAACTTATCTAATTTAATAATCCTCTTCTTTGGAAAATTTGTTCACTGTATCTATCAAATTTTTCTACTCCAGAAATTGATTGTTATAATTTCCTCATCAATCAATGTCTGAATAAATGCTGAAAATAAAGAAAAAGAAATCATATTATTATATATTGATACATTGGACTAAACAACATTAATTTGGAATAAAGAATGTATTGAAAAAAATAAGATTTAATATTTCTTTTACCTTAAACATATTTCCTCATATATCCTGCGAGAAAGTAATTGCATCTGTTTTCAGAGTACGTTTTTCTCATTTCTCCTAGTATTTCATTCCGCATTGTTTTATTTCTTTAATGTAACTGTTCAACTTTCCTTCTCCATAATTTTTTGGTTGTAATTTCCTCTTCAATGTCTGAATAAATGCTGAAAAAAAAGAAAAAGAAATCATATTATCATATATTGATACATTTTACTCAACAACATTAATTTGGAATATAGAATGTATTGAAGAAAGTAAGGATTAATATTTCTTTTACCTTAAACATACTTCCAGATATATCTTGTAAGAAAGTAACTGCATTCAATTTCCACATGTTTTTCATTATAACCTATACCTGTTAAACGTTACACATAACTATTTGACCTTAGATATATGTAATCATATACTTTAGCATGCATACGCATTCAAATAGCATAGGAATTTAAATCAACGAACAATACCACCATCTGCGGATTTCCAAAAGCAATGATTTTAAAACATATGGCGTCCAAATGGCACGAATCCAAATGACACGACGTCCAAACGGCACGGCGTCCAAACGGCACGACGCACAGTGGGACAAAACGGCTTTCGGCGATCAAAAGTCGATTTTCGTGAATTCGAAAATTGAAAAACTAATTACATACATCGATAGAGAATAAACTGTAGTTTAACGTAGTGTAATCTGTTTTTTCATATTTCTTTCCGTTTTGCCGTGGTTTGCACTCAAAGTCAGTAGAAATTCGTCAAGACGAAACGCTGATAATATTACCCCTAACTTCAATGTACGATTCTAATAAATTTTACTCGGAAAGATAAAATTCAAATGAATTACAAAGTTTACTAGATTAGTATAGATTCTATTCAGTGCATAAAATAAATTAAAATGTTAACAACTTTTTAAATAATAGGATCTGATTGAAACGAAATACATTTAACTAAAATCTCAACTTTGCGTTTGATTTAAAAAAAATGTGCACACTTGTGCAGGGTGTGATTATTACTGTAGTAAAGAGTGAACCTTCCTCTATCAGAATCAGAAAAAAACGGCTGCCCCAACCTGCCACTGCTCAAAAAAATGGCGATTGAAATAAATTACACCCATCTTGGCCGCGGCGCACGATGATGGAAAAACAGTACCAGATACGATTATAATCCAGTTAACTGTATTCGACGTGTATATTCGTTATCCAAAACTTTATTTCGGTTCAATAAGTGTTCAATGTAACAACTTTTTATTAAATAATAGGATCTGATTGAAACGAAGTACATTTAACTAAAATCTCAACTTTGCGTTTGATTTAAAAAAAATGTGTGCACTTGTGCGGGACTTGATTATTACTGTAGTAAAGAGTGAACCTTCCTCTATCAGAATCAGAGAAAAACGGCTGCCCCAACCTGCCACTGCTCAAAAAAATGACGATTGAAATAAATTACACCCATCTTGGCCGCAGCGCACGATGATGGAAAAGCAGTACCAGATACGATTATTATCCAGTTAACTGCATTCGACGTGTATATTCGTTACCCAAAACTTTATTTCGGCCTTGCAATATGCCATAATAAATTTTCATAATTGTCGAAATTATTTTCACGAATGATTTGGTATAGATCATAATAAATATAAATAAATATATTATAATAACACATGTCTTGTCATTTTTTAATTATTAAATCCGTTTTTATTATAGTTATTAACAGTTTTGAGTCAAATTTGTGTTAAATGACATAAAATATGTCTAACAAGTGAAGGATATTGAACGCGTTATACTTTATATGTGAATATTTTGACACCCTGTAGTTCAATATGATTCATATTGATACAACTTATGTACCATAATGTGGGCAAAAACTTCCCAAAATTTCATTCAAATATTTCCAATAGAACCGAAGTTACAGAATTTTGATCGCCGAAAGCCGTTTTGTCCCACTGTGCGACGTCCAAAAGGAACGCATCCAATCGGCTCGGCGTCCAAAAGGAACGCGTCCAATCGGGACCGTCCAATCGGGACCGTCCAATCGGGACGCGTCCAATCGGTCGACGTTCAAGTGGGCATCATTCCATGAAATGTAGGTTCATTAATGCATGAGAAGGGATCAATATATTACACTAGATCCAATGTAGATATAGTACTAATGATACTGTTATTAATTGCTCATTGATCTCTGGGAATAGATGAGTATACTACATTATATGTAACGTAAATATTGTACTATTGATAGTGTTATTAAATGGCCATTGGTCTGGGGGAATGGATCAGTATATTGCATTATATCCAATGCAGATACAGTAATAATGATATTGTTATTACATGTACATTGATCTGTGGGAAGGAATCAGTATATTACATTATATCCGATGTTGATATAGTATGAATGATGTTGTTACTAAATGTGCATTGATCTGTGGGAAGGAATCAGTATATTACATTATATCTGATGTAGATATAGTATGAATTATGTTGTTATTAAATGCACATTGATCTGTGGGAAGTAATCACTATATTACATTATACCTAATGTAGATATAGTAATAACGATGTTGCTATTATATGTACATTGATCTGTGGGAAGGGATCAGAATATTACATTATATCCAATGTAGATACAGTATGAATGATGTTGTTATTAAATGTACATTGATCTGTAGGAAGGTATCAGTATATTACATTATATCTAATGTAGATATAGTAATAATGATATTGCTATTAAATGTAGGTACATGAATCCGTGGGAAGGGGTCAGTGTATTACATTATATCTAACGTAGATATAGTAATAATGATATCGCTATTAAATGTACATTGATCTGTGGGAAGGGATCAGTATATTACATTATATCCAATGTAGATATAGTATGAATGATGTTGTTATTATATGTACATTGTTTCTTGAGAAGGAGTCAGTATATTTCGTTATAACCGATATAGATATAGTAATAATGATTGGTTATTAAATGTATATTACATATCTAATGTAGATATAGTAATAACGATATTGCTGTTTTATGTACATTGATCTGTGGGCAGGGATCAGTATATTACATTATATCCAATTACATTATATCCGACTTCGAAAAGGAGGAGGATACTCAATTCGATGTGCGTGTATTTTTTTTTTTTTTTTTTTTATGTATGTTCACCGATTACGTCGAGACGTATGGACCAATCGGAAGGAAACTTTTTGCGTTTTATAGAGTATAACTCCCTAATAGTCCCATGAAAAATTTTTATTTCAAGAAAACGTACGGCTTCATTTATATTTTTTTTTTTCGGCGTTTACTCTACAGGGAATATATCGATTGCGACTTTTCAACATTATCCGTGAAATGAAATGAAATGAAAAAAAAAAAAAATGGACTTCGTCATTTTCTGTACCAGTTGGTCGCTAAAAGATGGATTGGCTTCCTTCTTCAGGTATCAGTCGCTGGAAGCTAATTTGGACTGTTTCTTTGCAAAAGTAACCGTCGTAATCTTTGCATTTCTGCGAGTGCTCTTTCGTCATGCGGTTTAACGAGGACTTTGTTTGGTGCTAAATCAGATAGAGCTAAACCATCTAAACTTTTGACACGATTAAGAGCGACGTAAATTTGGCCTTTTGCAAAATTCTGTTTGCCAAGATCAATTACAGCTTTGTTTAATGTAGTCCCTTGTAATTTATGCACCGTTACTGCCCAACTTAGAATAAGTTGTAACATTCTGCGCTCGACGTCCCCATAACCTTTTGTCGCCTGAAACGTTGCTACAACTGGAGATATTGGGATGTAACCGTCGATATCTTTAAATCTATTTCCAATGGACTCGTCGTCAAATTTTATAAGTACCGCGTCTGGCAACTCTCCCTGTTCTAGTTGATCTCTTCGAAGTGCCGGCCGTGTAAATTTCTTCACTATTCCCATTGCGCCGTTTATCAAACCATCAGAAATTGATATATTTCGTCGCAGCATGATTCGCGATCCTTCAGTTAACTTTATTGTATGTAACAGTCCGCCACAATTATTTACATTTGTAGGTATGACATTTTCTGGTGGCCTTTTTCCATATGTAGCTGCCTCACGGGATTCGTCTATTGCATCAATGACGTACATTCGGTGGGATTTTGCTAATTCATCAGTCATTTTTGAATTATATTCATCCACTAATTTTATCGTTGGGAATATTCTTATTGCTGCACCATCCTCGAACTCTCCGGTTAGAGGAACTCTTCTTCGTTCGCATAATATTTCCAGTTGAGAAGTTGTCACTTCCCCAAACCGAAGGTTATTCAATAAATCGATGACTCAACGTCATCTCTTTGTCGCATATTAATGGTGAGTTCGCAGAATGAAAATTGATGCCATAAATTAATTTCTGCAGTACACCAATGTGGCTGTACAAAACACCAGTGTCCTTTTACTGGGGGCAACTGCCTGATATCGCCAAAGAGAAGTACATTTACGCCACCAAATAGTTTATCATTTGTTTTGAATTCTTGCAATCTTAAATGAATTATTCGCAAATTCTCATAAGATACCATTGATATCTCGTCGATAATCAACCACCTTGTATGACGCCACTTTCTTCTCTCCTGTTCGAGCCTCTGTCCTGTCAGTCGTCGATAGGTCATTGCAGTACCTTTTTCAATAGGCAACGAGAACAAGGAATGCAGAGTTTTTCCGAATATTTGACGGGCAGCGATGCCAGTCAAAGAAGCTATTTCAATGAAAGATGGTTTTATCATCGTATCAACTGTAGGATTATAGCAGCGTTTAACGTGTTCAACAAGTAATTTTAAAATAAACGACTTGCCACTACCAGCTCCTCCGGTAATAAAAAGCAATATTTGTTCCGTATTTTCATCATCATTTTTTTTAATATATTTCTCAATTACTGCGGAAACTGATTTTAATAAGTCTTTCTGTTGAATATTAAGACTTCGAATACTATTACGGAACACGCCTTCTGGCATTGCTATTGTTTCTTGCTGTTGATCTTCATATAAATCACCTTCATCATAATATATTGTTTCGTCGGCATGAATTCCGACTGGATCTCTTAAATGTTCATTAGTTTCTTCTCCATGTACAATATTCAAAGCAACAGCCTGGGCGAGCGCCGCTTCAATAATTTGCTCTGCGTGAGTAAATTGTTCGACGGTTGCGTTACCCAACATAGGTTTCAACTCGTGTTGCCGTCGAAGAAAACATTGTTCTGAAGATTCGTTTTCGGACATAAGTGTACTTTCATCACGAAATGGAATGTGACACACTACAGTATAGACTCGTTATAAGCTAAAAAGATCTGTACGATATTTGCAAAGAAACCATCCCCACCACTGGGGGGTATACCCCTCGAGACGTCGTGAAGCTCGCTCGCCGAGTAACGTAACATGATCTTGGATCAGATATCGGTGAGGCAACACTAATGCAACAACCTAACTTTGCTGCTTTTCATTTTT